CCGTGCTAAAGGCAAAAAGCCTAGCAAAAAGAAAGGAAAAAGTAAAACAGCTGAAACCGCGGCCAAGGTTGAAAAACCTAAGCCCAACCCAGCCAAAGACTCCAACAACGCACCTCAGAAGAGAGAACGCGAAATCGAGATCGAAATCCCTGATTCCCCTCCTTCCAACAGGAAAACAATCGACCAAATCTTTCAAGAGCTCAGCCTTTGCGGCGGCTTGATGAGATCCGATAGCCCTGGGGTGAGATAAATGTGGTAATCCCACCGGAGAGGTTGAAGAAAATGACCTTTGGGACGTTTGAGACGATCGGGGAAGAACGCAGGACGTTCGGGACGTACCATGGGACGATCAGGTCCGGACGATGGCGTCGGACGGACTGTCCGGGACGCGGGATGCTCAACGTGGGACGATTTGGGAAGGAACCTAATCCCACCATGCATAAAAAATGACAAGTGTTAAAAAAGAGACAAAAATAATATTTTTTATGACACTTGTCACAAGAGACAACATTTGTCACACAAGAGACAACACTTGTCACCTCTCCAACAACCAAACTTGGAGACTGATGCGGGATCAGGTTTTACCTATTCCTATCCCTGATTCTGCAAGTGCACAGGTCAGGTGTAGTAACGGGTTATCGAACACAAGGAGCAGATAAGTGCACTACAAGCTATGCAAGTCTAACTTAGCTAGGACAAAGGATAATTGGGGTTTGGTATGCAAAAGAACTAAATGAAAGAAAGTAAAACGGTGTAAGTTCAATGTGGGAAAGACGCTAGGCAATAGGTAATTCGCAGAGATTCATATATGATAAGATTGATGATTGATTTATATCTATTTAGGGATATGGGATGTAAGATCCGTCTAGAACACCAAACACGATTGTAAAACCATTCCACTGTCGAGGCTCCGGTTCCTTTGTTAATCTACCTAGTCGCTAAACTTTTGGTATGTCCCTAGGTGATTAAATCAAGCATTAGATCGAGCAAGTTCGGATACAGTTCACTAGGTTATAGTAAATCAACTTTCGCAGTCTAAGAAACCTAGCTTGTCAAAGAATATGTCCGGCGAATGATACAACACTTTCGAGGCTCAAATCAACCTAAGATCGAATCACTAGATGTACGGTAAAGTGATTAGCATTAATTAAGTGTGCAAAACGAGACAAAGACTCTAATGATATCCCTAGTTAATTCATCAAATCATAATCAACACATGAACTCTTTGAAACCCTAAAACCTAACTAGAAATCTACTCAAACATGGTGCAAGTAAACAAGCATAGATCTGAGATAGAAATCATATTAATATAAAGAGAAAAGGGTTTAGAAAGCTTCTCTATGTCGAGATACAAAGAAGGGATCTTCTCCCTAAGGAAAACAATGAGAAAGAAGTAAAACAATGGAAGATCCCTCTAAGGGGAGCTCCCTAGTGCGCCTCTCTCTTGTAGCTCTTCTCTGTGTGACTCTCTATGCGGCTCTCTCTTCTAAAGAGGCTAAAAAAGAGTATTTATAGTGCCCTAGGTCTTCCACAAGTCGGTTGAGGTGAAACGGGCTGAGAATAGTCGAAACTGCATAAGTGGGCTTCTTGTTCGCGGATCGGGTCGACCGTGCAAGGGATGTGGTCGGCCGTCGGGGTCGGCCGTGATGTGATGTTCTCGGTCGATCGTGGTCCATTGCCTCCCGGCTCGGACGGTGCGGTCGTGCGGCCGGATCGTCCTGGAGAAGGCCGAGCGAAGCCAATTCCCTTCCTGTCCGGCCGAGTGCGTTCGGCCGGCTGTGGACCAGTCTTCAGTACAAACGTGATATCTCCTAAACTGCTCGTCCAAATTGCATACTTCCAACGGCATTGGAACACTAACTCATCTGCCTATCTTGGTGTTGAGTTTCATTGAAATCCATTGAGTTTAAGGGTCCAAGCCGCTGCTGCTCGTCTGATGTACTGATGCAGTCCGATAAAGCTCCTCGTATATGTCTCAGGGAAATAGAGATATCTCCCAATCTACTCGGTCAAATTGATTGATTCCAGTTGCGTTGCAAAGCTAACTCACGTATGCATCACGTCGAACTGGATTTGATGAAGTCCATTGAGTAGATGTTTTTAAGGGTTGATGCTACGTCTTGGAGTGGTCTTGAAGTCCAAATCCTGTGTTTTGCTCCAAAATGCATCTTTTGACCTGTTTAGACTCTAAGTACTATAAATCCATAAAAACTACCTTTTTAGATCAGAAAGCCATTAAAAACCTTATGAAAAGCATAGTAAAACCATATAAAAAGCATGTAAAATAGAGGTATATCAGAGACCAAGTCTCTTTGTTCCCCCATCAAATCTATAAATACCAAGCTTTAGTTCACCCTTCCACCATTACAAACCAAACCTTTGTTGTAGAGAGAGAGAAAGAGGGTGAGAGAGAGAGAGAGAGTGAAGAGAAATCTTCTTTGATCCTTGTTAAATTTGTGAGTGTTTAGGGAGTGATTAGGCATTTTAGCTAGGACCTAGTAGCTGTTAGATCATCCAGAAAGATTAGATTAGAAGCCGTTCATCCGAGAGCACTGTGAGTTTTGGTGATGTGTGGTTGTTTGCTAGGAAATGTTACTAGATTTTGTGTTTATTTAATTGTTTTTGTTGAGATTACTTGCTAGATTCTCTTGCTAGATTCTGTGATACCTCACTTAAGCGACGTACTGTTAAGTGGGAAGACTCGGAGGTATGGGATAGCAGCCTAGGGCCAAGGGCTATTTCACTTCATTTAGGCGACGTACTGTTAAATAAGAATATTCGGAGGTACGGGGTTGCTTCCTATGGCGAGTATGAAATAGATAACCCGGGTTGTGACTCATTTGTGAGACAGGACTCGCGTGAGCCGTGAAAACGTGGACTTGCAGTAACGGGGCAGTCTTGGAGATGAAACTTGGGTAGTGATGTTCTGTCTCGCGTGCCTGTGTGGCTGTGAGATGGGTGTTCACGGGGAAGATCCGAATGCACAAGTGTGTTAAAGAAGGAGTGGTTGAGGAGGAGAAAGTTTTAGAATTTTTTTTTGATAATGCTAACATCTAACTTGTGTTCGTTGTAATCTTTAATTGGTTGTGCATGTTCTTGTTTGATTGTTGCATGATCAATTAAGGGTTATAATTAACATTATTGTGTATTGTGTGTTATTTTAGATTTTTGGGGTTGGTTTGTCATCTTGTTAGAGGTAGCCATTACTCATTGAGCGACTAGTGCTCAATCCCCCTTTTCCATCTTACATGTAACCAGTAGTGGAGCAAGGAACGTTAGGCCACCAGCGTAGTTTTTGTTATCTTTGTAAAATAGAACGTTTTGGAAATGTATTTATGGTTGTTTTGAGCAATAGACTCTGTCGTGAAAATGTTTTAAGTATTTGGGATGTTTTGTGAAACATTAATATATGTATAAAAGCTTATTTTCTATATTAACCGGTTTCACCTGATATTAGTCTTGTCCGGGCTAACACAACTCTCGACTTGGGAACGGGTTGCAAAGCCTTAGGCCTTGGTCGAGAGGGACGGTATTGAGAATGAATCGACCGAGCCCTTGGATGTGTTCTAAGGACTTGGTTGGACCGTACTCAGTATCCGTCAGTGGCATTTCTGGTTCATCTGTTTATAGATCGAGTCAGGGGTGTTACAAATTGTGGTATCAGAGCATGGTTCATGATCATGCGTCAGTGGGACTAGGTTTTCAAATGTTTTATCGAGTCAAAATGAGTCGCAAAGACAACTTAGGAAGCTGGTGGTACATTCCTTGGTAGGTAGTTAGATAGGTTAGAACTTACCTTTGGTGGATTATGTAGATGTCGGTGAGACGTTTTTCTTTAAGGAGCGTGGTGTAAATATCGCTGGCGGAAGGAGGAGAACCGGTTCAGGATGACTTTTCTAGCTCTTCAATTTCAGCAATAGAATCCGATTGGGGGCCATCAGATGATACAGAGACAGAGTTGGAGAGTGAGAGTGTTACTTTATCACTTGAAGATGATGAGGAAGAAGATGGTAACCACGATCAGCCAAAAGCAGTAGAGTCAAGGCGTATTTCTCCAGAGCAGAGAGAACGTGTGAACCAAGCGACAAATCGAATGATGACAGTGATGCATGATATATTGACTTACTTGAAGGACGAAAGGCAAGCAGCAACAAATGGTAAATCCGGAGGCTCGACATTTCCAGACTTCCTGAAGATCGTAACGATGATGAAGAAGCTTGGATCAACACATTATGGTGGAGGAACAAACCCATTTGATGCTGATAGTTGGTTGCAAAACATGGAGAAAAACTTTGCAGCCACTCGGTGTCCTGAAGATTTCAAGAAGGATGTCGCAGCAAACTATCTAGAGAAGGATGCTGCGAGTTGGTGGTCAACTGTTGAAAACTACTACAACAATCCAGGAGCGACATGGCAAGAGTTTGAGAAGGAATTTATAAGGAAATATTTTCCACCGGAGGCAAGAGATAGATTGGAGGCTCAGTTCTTGAGATTAGAACAAGGGAAGAGAAGCGTCAGAAACTACAAGGCAGAATTCACAAGACTCAGGAGATACGTTAGATATGGCCAAGGAGATGAAGCTGCGATAACAAGGATATTCATGCATGGGTTAAGACCAAAACTTTAGAGTCGACTCCAAGTGGTGGACTACATATCCTATCTTGAGTTAGTGGAGAGAGCCGTATATGTGGAAGCAGCCGTCAGTGCAGAAGAAGAAATGAGATCACAAAACCGCAAGAGAAAATATGATGGAGATACACAAGGAGAACCAAATCACCAAGCAAAGAGAAGAGAAAACAGAGGCGCCCTGACTAACACGCCCAGACACATTGCGCAAGAATGCCCAAGCAAGAACCGATATCGTCAACCAGTTCCGCCTCATATAGTTTGTCATTCTTGTGGAGAAAAAGGGTACTATTCAAACTTCTGTCTGAAACTACAACTCAACCAGATTATAGCATTTGAAGAACCTCCTCCACGGCCTGAAGCTGAAGCACCAGCACGCCCAGCGATCAAAGCACCAACGCCCTCACCACGTCAAGCCTATACTCGGACCGTGTCAGGACGAGTATATTCCCCTAATTAGGTTATAGTAAACCTTCATGACTTTTCAAAGTCTCCAAGAAAGGTAAGTGTGGGTGCTAACTCTTTGTTTGCTTGCTTGATTGTTTGTTTGCATGATTGTGTGTTTCTGTGAGTGGTAGAAATCGATTAGGTTTAGTCATAGGAGTAGTTACTCGAGAGAACCATAGGAAACCTACCTTAGAATTTAGGAAGCCCTTCGACCTAACCTTAGGAATTCGGGAAAAAAATCTTTTAAGGGGGGGGGGAGATTGTAATAACCCTGAGGTGAGATAAGTGTGGTAATCCCACCAGGGAGGTTGAAGAAAACAACCTTTGGGACGTTTGAGATGATCAACAAGACCGCGGGACGTACCGTGGGACAGTCGGGTCCGGACGATGGCGTCAGACGGACTGTCCGGAACGCGGGATGCTCACCGTGGGACGATTTGGGAAGGACCCCAATCCCACCATGCATCAAAAATGACAAGTGTTAAAAAAAGAGACAACAATAATCATTTTTATGACACTTGTCACAAGAGACAACACTTGTCACCTCTTCAACAACCAAACTTGGAGACCAAGTCTCTTTGTTCCCCCATCCAACCTATAAATACCAAGCCTTAGTTCACCCTTCCACCATTAGAAACCAAACCTTAGTTGTAGAGAGAGAGAGAAAGAGAGTGAGAGAGAGAGAGAGAGTGAAGAGAAATCTTCTTTGATCCTTGTTAAATCTGTAAGTGTTTAGAGAGTGATTAGGCGTTTTAGCTAGGACCTAGAAGTTGTTAGATCATCCAGGAAGATTAGATTATAAGCCGTTCAGCCGAGAGCACTGTGAGTTTTGGTGATGTGTGGTTGTTTGCTAGGAAATGTTGCTAGATTGTGTGTTTATTTAATTGTTTGTGTTGAGATTGCTTGCTAGGATTCACTTGCTAGATTCTGTGATAGATCTATTGCTTGTTTTAGATTAGGATGCTTGTTGCATGTTGTGTGGTCACTTTTGCATGCGAGATTTTACTAACCTCAACCGTGATTTCCAAAGAGTTTTTAAAGTGGATTTTGGTGGTGAGATGTGGTGGTGGTTCGGACTTCCTTTTATACCTCACTTAGGCGATGTACTATTAAGTGGGAAAACTCGGAGGTACGGGATAGCAGCGTAGGGCCGAGGGCTATTTCACCTCATTTAGGCGACATACTGTTAAATGAGAATAATCGGAGGTACGGGGTCGCTGCCTATGGCTGAGTATGAAATAGATAACCCGGGTTATGAGTCGTTTGTGAGACAGGACTCGCGTGAGCCGTGAAAACGTGGACTTGCATTAACGGGTCTGTCTTGGAGACGAAACTTGTGTAGTGATGTTCTGTCTTTCGTGCTTGTGTGGCTGTGAGATGGGTGTTCACGGGGAAGATCCGAATGCACGAGTGTGTTGAAGAAGGAGTGGTTGAGGAGGAGAAAGTTTTAGAAAATGTTTTTGATAATGCAAACATCTAACTTGTGTTCGTTGTAATCTTTAATTGGTTGTGCATGTTCTTGTTTGATTGTTGCATTATCAATTAAGGGTTATAATTAACATTATTGTGTATTGTGTGTTATTTTAGATTTTTGGGGTTGGTTTGTCATTTTGTTAGAGGTAGCCATTACTCACTGAGCGACTAGCGCTCAATCCCCTTTTTCATCTTACAGGTAACCAGTAGTGGAGCAAGGAATGTTAGGCCACCAGCGTAGCTTTTGTTGTCTTTGTAAAATAGAACGTTTTGGAAATGTATTTATCGTTGTTTTGAGCAATAGGCTCTGTTGTGAAAATATTTTAAGTATTTGGGATGTTTTATGAAGAAGGTCAAGGGATCTTCATCAAAAAGAACAAAGCAACTCTCACCTCTCCATTTCTTAGGAGCCGTTCAGTTTTGACCACACCAAGGAGACTCCCAGCTCAAGACCCTCCCAAAGCCTCATGATACGAGTCAAGAGAGGCAGGGGCCAACAGACAGAAGAGGAGGAAGATTTCAAGAGTACGACGTTCTGACTCGACCAGTGGACTCGATCGAGTCCAAACAGAGCAAACCGGACTCGGTCGAGCTGAGGGTCGAGTTGAACTTGAGGAGCCGGGATTTGAAATCCGGACTATGAGTTTGATCCAGCGCCTTACCAGGACTTCCATCAGACCAACTGGACTCCCTACAACCGGTTTGAGCAAGCTAGACTCCACCAAGGTCAAGGTAGCCACACTCACTTTGATGATGATGAAGAAGAGCATGCAAATGAAGGATGCACAAGCATTGTGGAATGGAGTTCCCCCGATGGTCGCCTGCCCTCTCCAGACCTTGCTTCCCAGTTCTTTGGGGAGCCCTAAGGTATCAAACACTTTCCTTTGTAAATACCATTTCATTTTCATGCATTTTTTCTTTGTTTTTCTTGGTTTTGCCCTCTTGAATCTTTCATTGAACTTCTTTCACACAAGAGACTGTGTGATTTAAGTTTGGGTAAGGTTCAAGAGATGATTTAACCTTGTTTATTATGTTCTTAGTTTTTCATTCATCCTATTTGCATAGAAAAACACAAAAAATCATAGAATTTTCAAAAAATCCAAAAATATTTTCATCATTTTGCATTCATACTTGTTAGATTTGTTTAGGATTGCATCATTTACCTCTGTTTTTATTGTGCATAGTTGATTTGGTCTTGTGAACTTGTTCTTCTTTTGCAATTTGTTAAGTGCCCCATTTTTATAGATTCTTTTGTGCATTAGGGTGAGATTGGTTGAACAATAAGGAACCATCTTTAACTTGATCATATCACTGCATGCACATCTCATTTAACCTCTGCTCTGATTTGATGCATTTTTCTACATATTTGGACCTTAAACTTGATCTTTAAATACCAATGCTTGCATTTGATTTCAACTCATGGATACTATATACATATCTGGACATTCTTTGCCTATTGTTTATCCATCTCGCTTGTCCAGATAGCTGATCTCCATCTTTGAGACAGTTACCACGCCCTAAACCTAAGCCTTTTTCATTCAAACCCCATGTTATTTCTTGAGCGATTGTGAGGCCTTGTTCTTGGCTATGCTTAGTATAAGGTGTTGTGTTTAAACCGACAGGAGAAGTAGTTCTAGTTGTCTAGTTCTCTTTGGATTGTTTTCAGGGTAAGTTTGGGGGTTTCCATTTGGACTTGGGCGAGTTGAAAGTAAAACCAGAAAAGTGGTAACAGTTGGGGAAAACAAAAGAAAAAAGAGTTTGGTTAAGTCCAGGGAGTTGGTTTGTGTTTAAAAGGGTCTAGTAAAGGTTTGGGAAGTGTAAAAAGAAGGAAAAAGGGTTCTAAGTAGAAAAGAAAAGAAGGCAAAGTCTCAAGTGTTCAAAAGAAAAGAAAAAGTTCCCTAAAGGGTAGTTAGGATTTGCTCTTCGGCTCTGGGTTTCAGACTTGATCAAGTCAGAATTAGGTGGCTCAAGTTACTGCTCTTGCATCATCTTAACCTTACGCCAAAGCATAGCCACTTTCTTGAGAGATCCCTGTTACTAAACCACCAAACACTTTAAAAGGGACCATCTTTGTCTCTTAACCATAAACCCTTAGCCAAATGAGTTGATTGATCTTGCATGTCTTTGGTTCACTGTTCTATTTAATAAATGTTAAAGGGATTTGCTGATTTGAAGGCATTGTTTGAGTGACTATGAAGTGGGATTGATTTTGTTAAAAATGGTTAAAATCTTAATGAATATCTCTCACCTTGTTGCATTCTAGAATCTTTAAGTGGGACATTTAGCAAATCGTTTTTGAGTACATGTTTTTAAGATTGAAAATCAACTTGTTTTCAACCCTCATCTCTTCCTTGTTCTATTTGTTTGCTTGAGGGCAAGTAAATGATAAGTTTGAGGGTGTTGATGTACTTGTATTTTGCATAGTTTTAGTACATTTTTTATGCATCTTTTGCATAGTTTTAGCATTCATTAGCATCATATCTTGTTTCTTTTCCTTTCTTATGCATTTATTGTAGTTTTAGGTTGCATTTACATGCATGTTTAATCCTTAAACAGGTCTATTTGGAGCACTATGGAGCAATTGGGACGTGAGGAGAAAGGTAGGACATTGTGTATCGACTCAGCTTGACTGCGCATGCTTGGAATGAAGAAGGATGCCGCCTTTGAAGTCAGCTCGACCCATCTACTCGACCAACCAGTCGAGTTCACCAACTCAACCGGCCAAGACCAACTGGATCGAGCTGCAGAGTCAAAGTCAAACCCGAAAAATGTTGCTTTCCCTTTGACTCTTTTTTAACCCTAAACCTAGTCTCTTTCCTACTTAAAGGCTTGTAGCCACGAAAAAGACAACCTTCTTTTTAGTTTTCTTTGTTTTAACTCTTTAAGTTTGTAATTTGCATTTTCTCTTTAAACCTTAGCCTCTCTTTGTGTTCTTGAGCTCTTGCTCTTGAACCTTAGATCTAGGCCTTATCCTTGTATTTCTGTACTTGTCTATTTCAATAAAAGTTCCTTAGTTTCATCTCCTCTATCTTTTAATGTCTCCTTTATTGTATTTGGTTGTTTATTTCGTTATGATTAGTGAGTAGTTTCCTTTAGGGTTTAAGATGAGATATGTTAGAGGTTGTTTATGATTAATCTCTCTTACTTTATGTTTCTAACCTAAAATCTCTCTGTTTAGGACTAAGCTTAAAGGTACACAACCACTATCCCTGGTGTGTATGAGCCTAGGCGATTTTTCTCATGGGAATGAGTGAAAATCGGTTGAATAAGTCCACTCAGAGCTTCAACATGCTTGCCTCACGAAATGGGGTTTATAGGTGTTGAATGGCTGAGTTTGAGCAATGATCCTAATGCCTCTAAGGCTTGATTCTCACTGGCTGACCCCCCTGTTTCTGAGATCTTGCCTTGGATGATAGTTTTCACCTTGGGAAATGGTTAGCTAGGCTTGAGAAGCTCAATACCAAGAGATAGCTTGAATACAAGTTGTTTAAGAGCAAGGTTGATTAAGTATAGCCTCCCTATAGCTGCAAAACCCTGTATTTAGCCCTAATCTTCGTCCTAGTAGCTTAAAGTTCGCATCTTTATTAGCTTTTCTCTGTTTTTGCACTAACTCGACCCACAACTCGATCAAGCCCATTTGCTCTGTTCCTACTCGATCGAGCCCTTGGTCGAGCCGCTTTCATTTACTGCTTTTGCTTGCATTTCATTTCATAATAGGTAGAATTACTTCCATCACCTTTTTACTATTTGCTTGACTTTCTTTTGTTTGCATATTCTCATAGAGTGACAACAAACTCTTATGGATTGATAACCTCTTATACTACATTGACTATGATGTTAAAGAGGAATTGATTGATTGTGATTGCACCATACCATCTCATCCTTATTCCACCCTTGTTTGCATTTCATATCATATCATACACATTTCATTCCACCATCACGCAAATATCCTTTCATCAGTTGTACCACCACAAGCTGAAGAAGATGATGGCCTCCCCAATTTCCAAGACCACTATGATGCTCTCTTTTCCATGGAGTTTGTGGAAACCAAATACCCTCATGATGATACAATGAAAGAGCTTGGGATCTTTGTGGATGTGGAGTTAGTCCTCACGAACATGCACTTGGCCAAGTTCCTCTCTTACAGGATGGAGTCATATAAGGACCTGACTTGTGAGTCCCTAGCTTCATTGAGATATCACACGTACAGAAAGGTTGAAAGGAGAGACTTGGAAAGAGGATTGGGTTGGATCACCTTCACAGCTGATGGTGTAGAGCGAGAGGTCACATTCATGCATCTTGAAGTCTTGTTTGGATTTAACTATGGAGAAGGAACTGAGTGGAGTTTTGACAAGAATGATCTTCAAGGGGTTTGGATCACAATCGCTGATGCTGTTTACTCATCTTTAAGATCTAAGGCTGCTCAAATCAGGAGTCCAGTCCTTAGATATGTGCACAAGGCGCTGACCAACTCTTTCTTTGCAAGGAAGACCACATGCACCATCACTGAGGGAGAGCTCCAAATGCTTGATATGGGGCTCAAAACAATTCTCCCTTTCATGAGAAATGGAAAACACATCCATGGAGATACCTCAGATACTGAGACACTCATTCCCTTCTTGGATCAACTCTTGAACTACAAGGTCACAGCCTACAATAATCGCTTCATGTCTAAGAGGAAGTTGAGTGTAGGAGGCCTTATCACACCTATCTTGCTAGCTGGAGGTGTAGATACAACTCATCATCAGAGTACAGCGCCTGGTTGGATGGAAATTAAGTTTTGTAAGGTGAACACCCTCATTGATCACAAGGAGGAGAGTGGGATGTACCAATTCTTGTTCAAGCACCCTGAACCTGGACCTCCAAGATGCTCCTACCAAGCCCTGCCTACACAACCGTTAGAGAAGGAGAGAACTTTGATTTTTGGCCACCACTTGACATGCTTATTGGGCATGAAGCTGAGCATCAAGCTGAGGAGCAAGCTGAACAAGCGCCTGAGCTTATGGAGCAGGAGATTCAAGCTAATGAAGAGGTAGGCGAGCCTGATTGCTACTACTTTGATGAGTATGAAGCTCCAAGGATGAATTCCTCTGTTTTGGCTGCTCACAAAAGGATTGGACTTCTCCAAAAGTTCAACAAGTGGCAAAGGAAGGCCATGGAGAAGATGCAGAAGTCCATGGACAAGATGGTGAACAAAATTAAGAGTTTGGAGAAGAAAGTCAAGGGATCTTCATCAAAGAAGTCCAAGGCAACTTCCACACCTCCTTTCCTTAGGAGTCGCTATGTTCTCACCCAACCAAGGAAAATCCCAGCTCAAGAACCTCCCAGAGCCTTGTTATACGAGCCAAGAGAAGCAGAAGCCAGTAGACAGCGGAGGAGAAGAAGTTCTAGAACCCGCCGTTCTGACTCCACCAACAAACTTGATCGAGCCCAAGCAGATGAACCTCAACTCGATCGAGTTGAGGATCAAGTTGAGCTAGAGGAGCCACAGTAGGAGCATCCGGTCTTTGAGGTTGAATAAGCGCCTTACCAGGACTTCTATCACAGCAACTGGAACCCCAACAGCCGGTTTGAGCGCTCTAGACTCAGCCAAGCTCAGGGCCACCACACATACTTCAATGATGATGATGAAGGCTGCATGGATGATGCTCCTTGGAGTGCTCTTGATTGTCGCCTGCCCTCTCCTTCCCATGACCTTGCTTCCCAATTTTTTGGGGAGCACTAAGGTTTCAAACATCCCTTCTCTTGTAAATACCATTTCATTTTCATGCATTTTTTCTTGGTTTTTCCCTCTTGAATCTTTCTTTGAACTTCTTTCACACAAGGGACTGTGTGATTTAAGTTTGGACGAGGGTTCAAGAGAAGTTTTAACCTTGGTTATTCTGTTCTTAGTTCAATTTTTCATGCATCATCTTATTTGCACAAAAAACCACTAAAAATTGAGAAAATTTCAAAAATCCAAAAATATTTCATATTTTTGCATTCTTATTTGTTAGAACTGTTTTAGGATTGCATCATTTAGCTTTGTTTTGTTGTGCATTGTTGATTTAACCTTGTGAACTTGCCTTCTTATGAGATCTGTTAAGTGCCCCATGTCTAGATTCTTTTGTGCATTAGGGTGAGATTTAATGAACAAGAAAGCACCATGTTTAACTTGATTAATCACTGCATGCACATCTCATTGCTGTGATTTGATGCATTTCCCTATTTATTTGAACCCTAAACTTGATCTTTAATTACCATTGCTTGCATTTGCTATCAACTCATGGATACTATATACTTATCTGGACATTCTTTTCCCATTGTTTATCCCTCTTGCTTGTCTGATGTGGGTCAAGTTTTACCCAACTATTAGTAGATAAGGCAAGTGCACGGATCGTTGGTAGTATGGGTTATCGAACACAAGGACCAGAAAAGTTACACTAACAGCTTGTGAGATTAAAACTTAGCTAAAACTAAAATATGAGGGTTTGGTTTTAGGGTTGTGAACACTGACGAAAAGAACTATTAGTGAGCTTAAACTCAAGTATAACAAGCAATCAAATCAATAGGGAAAAACATTGGGCACAAGAGAATTCGCAAGGTTTCATAGATTTAATCAAGTAGATAGGGAAATCAATAGTTTTGTTCAAAATCTCGAATTATGAATAGATAATCAACTTACTCCCGCAGTGTCAATTAAAATGTCTAACAAGTTAAGATTACACTACTCCCGTGGGTAATCAAGTGGTTAAACAAGCATAAATATTCCAAATTCGATTTGTCCACAAGGCTTTGTAATTCTACTTCCATAGGTTACTTCACCTTGCTCATCCAAGTTGATTCAAGTGACTTAACAAACGGTCAAAAAGTAAATCTACCTAAGAGCAGTAGCATAGATGGTCAATCCAGTTATAAGCAATAAGCACAAACTTGGATGAAGAACTTTAATGATAAAACCCAAATCTAGCAACCTAACAACCAATCCATGAAAACCCTTTGAAAACTCTCAAACCCAACAATAAGACTACTAAGCCATGATGCAAACAAACAAGCAAGAGATGTATGAAAGCATTATGTGAGTATTAAAAGAGATAAAGGGTGAAGAAATCTTCTCTATTGAAGAACAAGTCTAAATCTCCCTTGAAACTCTCAAATCCGAAATAACAAAATGCAAGAGAAAAAGAAAGAACAAAGTGTAAAGGTTTGTGTGTGTGTGTGTGCATGTCTTGAATCCTGAGAATCGCCTCTTCTCTCCAACTCTTATGCTCTACAGGACGGCTCTCTCTCCTCTCTGACGGCGCACACACGTCTCTCTTTCTTATGAAGCTAAAAAAAGGTATATGTAGGTCATAGGTCGGTTAGGGTATAGAAGTGCCGAAAAAAGAAAGTTTTCCATGAGCCGGGTTTAAAGTCTCACGATGTGTATGGGCCAGCATTTCACCAAGGAAGACTCCACACATTAGATATATCTCTTCCTTATCGATCCAAGTCCTAGGCCACGTGGTTGGTGGGGAAAGCCATGTGGTATGTGCATTTGCTGACCAGGAAAAGTCCCTTAAGGGCCTTGGTAGTTGTTTTTCGGACCATACCCATGTTGAGGAGCTTGACTCGATCAAGCTTGCTGTTGTTGAGGGTAAACCTGATCTTATGGGTTGGCAACGTCAATGTTTATGTAAGACATGGCTGGGTTGGCTTTGTAGTTGTAATATCCTTTGTTGTAACCTCCTTGCCCATTGCTCATGTAACAAACTTCAGCATATTGTTTATCTTCCCCTTCTTGAACAGGTTCCATCTCTTCAGCAGACACAAAATTGACCTTCTTCATTGTGGACGGAGCTAAGATAAGCTTATCCAACTTCTCATTCAATGATTTGACCTCTTTTCTCAAATTTTCATCGGACTCGATCGAGTGTTGGGTCGAGCTCCGGTTGGTGCGGTCATACTCCTCTCCATAACTCCCATTGTAGTTTGCAATGTTTTCAACAAGCTGCCAGCCATCCTCCACATCCTGGTTAAGGAAGTTTCCATTGTTGGCTGTGTCTAGCATCTCTCTATACCTTGCCAAACATCTTGTATAGAGAGTAAGGACTCATTGTTGAATCCATGATGAGGGCACTGACTTGTGTAGCCCTTGAACCTTTCCCAAGCTTCAGCAAAAGTCTCATTGTTCCTCTGAATGAAGTATGAAATCTCACTCCTTAGCTTGGCGGTGCGACCGGTTGAAAAGAACTTGGCAAGAAAAGCCTTCTTGCATACATCCCAAGTGGTGATGGTACCATGTGGTAGGCTCTTCTCCCATTGGTGAGCCTTGTCAGCAAGAGACATAGGGAAGAGTCTCAGCTTGATGGCATCTTCAGAGACACCATTGATCTTATTCAAATCACACAACCTATCAAACTCATCAAGGTGATCAATGGGTCTTCACTTGGCAATCCATGGAACATCTTGTTCTGCACTAGATTGATCATACCCAGCTTGATCTCAAAGTTTCAAAGTTGTGGTTCTGGACAGGTGGTGGAACAATTCCTTGTCTTTGTTGATGGCGGTTTGGAGCATCTCCTAGACCAATCGGTCGAGTCTGCTTAGTTCGACCGAGTCCATTACCCTCTGGTATATCCATTGTTTTAGTAATAACCACCTCTGGTTCTGCTTGTTGCCTCTGAGTTTTCTTTCTCTGTTTTCTGCCTATGTCTTCAGTTGAAGAGCTCGATCGAGTTCGCATACACCTGAAAAAGAAATCAAAAACCCAGAAATACATATAACAAAAGGTGGGATAGCTTGATCGTCCAAGTGATTTCGAAACTCAAATGCAACAACTATCAAACCCAAACGGCAACAGCGCCAAATTGATGATAGGATTTTGCGCTATGATATGAGATGAATGTAATGATGTAATGATATGAGGTGGAATGCAAACAGGGGTGAATAAAGATGAGATGGTATGGTGCAATCACAATCAATCAATTCCTCTTAACCATCATAGTCGATGTAGTATAAGAGGTTATCAATAAGGGTTTGTTGCTGCTCTATGAGAATATGCAAACACAAAAAAGTCAAGCAGCACAGTAAAGGTGGATGTTTCAAACAACCTAATGAAATAAAATGCAAAAGAAAAACAGTAAATAAAAGCGGCTCGACCAAGATTTCGATCGAGTAGAACAGAGTAACTGGGCTCGATCGAGTTGAAGTAAAAACAGAGGAAATGCAATAAAAAGCGGTAAAGGTGCAAACTTTAGACTACTAACACGAAGGTTAGGGTCTAAGACAGGGTATTGCGACTAGGGGAAGGCTATACTTAATCAATCTTGCTCATTAACCACTTGTACTCAAGCTATCTTTTGGTATTGCGCTTCTCTAGCCTAGCTAACCCTTTCCCAAGGTGAAAGCTATCATCTGTATATACAATATATAGAAATAAAATAAATCACAAAAATTTGCCTTTATTTTCTTGATTTATTTTGCAAAAATCGAAACCTTTTACCCAATATATATTCCTATATGAAAGTTTATATGATATAATATAAACGGCGTGGTAACTCTTATAAAAAGGTGAAAGAAGTCTTTTCAATCTTCTTTGATTTTGAAAGTACATTAAAAATCATGTAAAAAAACGAAAAAATATGGAAAAGCCGGCTATCGGAATCGAACCGATGACCATCGCATTACAAATGCGATGCTCTAACCTCTGAGCTAAGCGGGCTCAAATAAAATAGCGCATGCATACAAATTCACTAAACTACTAGATCGTATCAATTAACTATTCTATTCATATTTTTCCTTATCTATTTAGAATTAATCATATTCTATATATTCTAGAACAGAATATAGCTCAAATAAATAGTAATTATCAGTAAATCAATAAAACATAACCTTAATTAATTATAATTAATAGAATATAGCAATATATCGACTTTCTCATTTTGATTTCATTAGTTTCTAAATAAGAAAATCTTAATTAGATCAGAAATCTTTTTTTTTTTTTAGTTAAACGATATCTCATTTGAAATTCTTGTTTTTTTTTTGTTCTAACCTCAATGCTATTATTATTTTATACTTTTTGTCTTTTGATTTTATTTCTAATATTAGACAATTATTAGAATTAATATTCGAAATGACTATTCGAATAGAATTTTTTAGAATTATTCGAACTTCAAATCTACGAAGTTAGTTTATAATCTTTTTCCATTGCACATTGTAGAATTCTAAGTTTTAATAATAATCATAAATTTATTTTCGTGGAAGTAAAAAAAAAAAGAATCGACCGTTCGACTATTTCTTCAAATTTAAGACAAAGATGAGAAAAGGAAGAACATATATATGTTATGTAATATATAACCATATTGAATTGCAAATACAAAAATAATAGAATCTTTATTGATCAGACTAAATCAATATGGATGGGGGCGAAAAAAAAAGAAAGACGATACCAAAGAAATAAGTATCTATATGTAATGAATTCAAAAGTTTCGACATAAGACAAAGTGGAAAGACATCATAATGAGATCCTAATCTCAAAGCAAAAAAGGGGATATGGCGGAATTGGTAGACGCTACGGACTTAATTGGATTGAGCCTTGGTATGGAAACCTACTAAGTGATAACTTTCAAATTCAGAGAAACCCTGGAATTAACAATGGGCAATCCTGAGCCAAATCCTGGTTTACGCGAACAAACCGGAGTTTAAAAAGCGAGAAAAAGGGATAGGTGCAGAGACTCAATGGAAGCTGTTCTAACAAATGGAGTTCAAATGGAGTTCACTACCTTGTGTTGATCAAATGATTCACTTCATAATCTGGTAGATCCTTGGCGGAACTTATTAATCGGACGAGAATAAAGATAGAGTCCCATTCTACATGTCAATACTGACAACAATGAAATTTATAGTAAGATGAAAATCCGTTGACTTTTAAAATCGTGAGGGTTCAAGTCCCTCTATCCCCACTCCCCCGCTGACACCTTAGCTTTTTTTTAGTTATTCAAAAATTCATTATCTTTTTTCATTCATCCTACGCTTTTACAAACTAAAATTTCTTTTCTTATTATATTATATACAAGTCTTGTGGGATATATCATCCACGTACAAATGAACAAGAAATATCGATTTGAATTATTTAGAATCTATATCATTTTTCATTTTAAAACTTAGAAAGTCTTCTTTTCGCGGATCCAAGAAATTCCCGGTCCAACACTTTTTTCATTTACTACTTTTTTTGCGTTTCTTTTAATTGACATAGACCTAAGCCATCTAGTAAAATGAGGATGATACTTCGGTAATCGCCGGGATAGCTCAGTTGGTAGAGCAGAGGACTGAAAATCCTCGTGTCACCAGTTCAAATCTGGTTCTTGGCATAGGATTGATTGGATTGATTAATTTTGATAAGTTTCTATCCTGCAAATTAAACGTATCCTTAGTAAAAAGGGTGCAATCATCCTTTATCCCCCTCGCTTTTTTTGTTCATGTTGTGGATCCATCCGTTCAAAAAAAATGTATAATACTTTATACATACTACATATTCGAAAGGAAAGGTTAACTGAGTTCTGTTTGAAAGAATCAAACAAGTAAAAAAAGGATCTATAGTTGAAGGGCAGAAATACCCCAAGATTCATTAGATACAATAGAAATTGTACCCCCCCCTCATTTATAGATTTCCGATCTTATTTATTCATTCCCAGTTATGTGACTAAGTTATGTGCGCGATACAAAGTTCATAATGCAGAACTCTTTTTTTTTTTAGTTCATCCTATTGGCTCGGCTTTTACGAAAAAAAAAGTATCTTTGAACTTGGAGATCAAGCTATCTATAATAATATGAATGAGATCTCAATTTTTCTGTTTGTTTGATCTAAAAAGAATCGAATTCAAAATATTCCGTGAAGGTCCGCAGTTATAGAAGCTAAGACTCGTTTTTTATCATTCAATAAGCATCTTGTATTTCATAAAAATTGGGGGCAATATAATCCTTACGTAAAGGCCACCCTATCCAACTTTCGGGCATTAAGATCCGTTTCAGTCGTGGATGGCTATCATATGTGATTCCTAACATATCATAAGATTCCCGTTCTTGAAAATCCGTACTTTTCCAAACCCAGAAAACAGATGGAATTCTAGGATTACTCCTGTGAGTAAATACTTTTATACAGACTTCTTCCGCTTGATTGACACCATATTCTATTCTCGTAAGATGATACACACTGGCTAAGAGGCCACCTGGTGCCACATCGTAGGCACATTGCGAACGTAAATAATTGTAACCATATACATATAAAATTACAGCAATAGAATGCCAATCTTCGGGCTTTATTTGTAAAGTCTCTATTCCTTGGTAATCGAAGCCCAACGATCTATGAACTAGCCCTCGTTTGGCTAGCCAAACGGACAAAGTGCCCTGCATTTTTTTTATTTCCCCCACACCCTTTTTATATAAAATAAGTATTTCACATTAGTTCTAATTTATGAAGATTTTTTTCTTATTCTCTAAAATCCTCCCTAATTCACAAATTCGTGGGGAGATACTGGACTTTTGTATTTAAAAAATGTTTCAGTAGAGATCTCTGAAGTAGATGATGGTGGATAGAGCAATTCTTGATCATAATTTCCAGCATGCGTACTGCGTACAACAAAAAACTTGTGATTGGTAGTAAAACACCGATTACCCTGTTGAGGTCTAATTCGATCCTTATAAATTTCTCTAGCTATTTTCTTACGAAGCTTTGTTATAGCGTCTATAACAGCCTCTGGTTTAGGTGGACAGCCCGGCAAATAGACATCTACAGGAATTAGCTTATCAACTCCTCGAACAGTACTATAAGAATCGGTACTGAACATCCCCCCTGTAATTGTACAGGCTCCCATAGCAATAACATACTTTGGTTCAGGCATTTGTTCATATAATCTCACTAAGGAAGGAGCCATTTTCATTGTTACTGTACCTGCTGTTAAAATAAGGTCCGCCTGTCTAGGACTCGATCTTGGTACTAGCCCATAACGATCAAAGTCAAATCGGGAGCCTATTAATGAGGCAAATTCAATGAAACAACAACTGGTACCATAAAGAAGCGGCCATAGGCTGGAAAGTCTTGACCAATTTGAAAGATCATTTAACGTAGTTGAAATAACTGAATTTTTTGTTGTTCGATCAAGTACGGGAAACTTAATGGAATTCATAATTGTTTCAATGGTTTTTTTTTTACTTTTTTTTTTTTTTTACAAGTATTCAGGAAACGAACTAAGACCATTCCAATGCTCCCTTTCGCCATGCATAAACTAAACCAAGAATTAGGATAAGCAAGAAAATGAAAGCTTCTATAAAAGCAGATACCCCCAGTACATCGAAACTCATTGCCCACGGATACAGAAAAACGGTTTCAACATCAAAAACAACAAAAACTAGAGCAAACATATAATAACGGATTCTAAATTGTAACCAAGCATCCCCGATCGGTTCTATACCGGATTCATAACTAGAAAGTTTCTCCGGCCCCTTCCTAATTGGAGATAAAACTCCGGAAATTAGAAATGCCAAAACAGGAATAGCACTTGATATTATTAAAAATGCCCAGAAAATATCATATTCGTAAAGCAGAAACATAGACGAACTCCTATGAATGTGGAAAAAAAAATACCCGCCTAGTCAATTCCAGTCGGAGTGGATTGGGCAAGGGATATAGAACTCTTGAGTCAAAACAAAAATTCAGGTTAATCGAATGATTTTTTTTCGTTTGGTTGCTGTGGTAGACGTCTCATTTTAAGATTTATTAATTGTAATCTTATTTTAAGTACACTTAATTACTTAATATTTCCACGTTTCTATTACTAATAGTTTCTAATATTAATAATATATAATATAATAGTAATATTATTAATAACTAGTAATTTTTTGGATTTCTGTTTATGAAATTTTGGTTATGTTTTAGTTAGAAATCAAAAAAATGTAGAAAAATTTCTTTGTTTTTTAAATTATGAAGTATAAACAAAAAATCCACTTACGACTATGAAAATTAATGAAGAAAAAAAAGTTTATTCTAACCTATCAAGTATCTATCTAGATATATCGATAGATAGTGGTTGGATCTATTGAAATAAAATGCCGTTTTCCGTTTTATTCTGAACGATCCCCAGGACTTATGGTTTGGGGTATGGGAATTTTTTTTATGAACCAAGTAATTGAACGTAACCAGTTAGAAATAAAGAATACAATAATTAAGTAAAAAAAATTATCCAATTATTTTGATTTGAATGTCATTTATTCGACTCAATTTCTTAGTCTTAGTTAGGGCTATACGGACTCGAACCGTAGACCTGCTCGGTAAAAGAGTTCGAACTTATTATTATCAAAATGATTCGAACTCTTTCAAAGACCCAACATGCATTTTTGTTTGCATTGGGCTCTTTCATTAACTGATAGAAGGATCAGTTAGTCTACCAAATTTTTTCTTAAAAAAAAAGATAAGAAATGGTTCCAAGTACTCTGATTGGTTTTTTTTAATTCTAATACAATACAGAAGAACTACCAAAGTGTTTCAAAAGAGGGTTGGGTTCTCTTGACGTAGGTTTGCTTTTGGTCTAGATCAACTTAAGTTAAATATAGTCTCTAACATCCTGATTAAAAAATCAAACATGAAACTTGATACACCTTAAGGTTCATAGGACGAAAAGATCATTTTTGAGTTCCTTATACTCATTCTGCCTAGCATTAAGTAGACTAGGTATTCACCCTATCAATATCTCAAATCAATGATGGGTTCTATTCATCCCCTACCTAACGGGGTACTTTAATAGGACCTAATGTCAGGCTGTTGTTCTCCTCTTTTTTTCCTAAAAAAAAGTCGTGGAGTAAGACATCGATTTATTAATAAGATCAATCAATTGGTTTGATTGCGTGATGAACTCCTCTGAAAAACTTTGGCGCACGTGTAAACGAGGTGCTCTACCTAACTGAGCTATAGCCCTTGTATTTGTGATACACATTTTATCTTATCATGTAGATAATTTCTTGTCAAGATTAATATTATATGATCGAACATTATATCTCTTGAATCTCGTTGTTTATTGGTATTGCTTAGAAATAATATTAGATTTATAATCCTATCGATGTGATAGGTACCCCCTTGCTTTCTCTTTACGATGATAAATAACCTACTTAACTCAGTGGTTAGAGTATTGCTTTCATACGGCAGGAGTCATTGGTTCAAATCCAATAGTAGGTATAACTTATTAGACACCATGATTCATGGTGTCTAATAAGTTTTTGTAACCAGCTTTTTTCTTTTTTTGTTTTTCTCGCCTTTCGATCCTATTTTTTTTTATACATTCTTTTTTTTTACACGTCAGCTAGTTACAAAATCAAATCGTATTAAGAGCCTCGACTCGTGTACGAGCTCGTCTGAGAGCTAGATTTGCCTCAATTGTTTGTCTCTTGCCTTCAGCTTTTCTCAAGTTAGCTTCTGCTATTTCAAGAGTTTGCTGAGCTTCTTGTGGATCAATGTCACTATTCTTCTCTGCATCATTTACTAAAATAGTGATTTCATTATTGCCTATTCTAGCAAAACCGCCCATCAGAGCCATCGTTAACCATTGGTTATTAAGGCGTATTTTCAAAATACCTATATCAACAGCTGTGGCAATCGGCGCATGATTTGGTAATACGCCAATTTGCCCACTATTAGTAGATAAAATAATTTCTTTTACTTCTGAATCCCAAACAATTCGATTCGGAGTCAGTACACAAAGATTTAAGGTCATTTCTTCAATTTACTCTCCATTTCTAAGTTCGTAGCCTTCGCAGTAGCTTCATCGATGTTACCCACTAAGTAAAAGGCCTGTTCGGGAAGAGAATCAAATTCTCCGGAAAGGATCAGTTTAAACCCTCTAATTGTTTCCGCTAGACCAACATATTTTCCCGGAGAACCTGTAAATACTTCTGCTACGAAAAAGGGTTGTGATAAGAAACGCTCAATTTTTCGTGCTCTTGCTACGGTTAAGCGATCCTCTTCGGATAATTCGTCCAACCCCAGGATAGCTATAATGTCCTGAAGCTCCTTGTAACGTTGTAAAGTTTGCTTGACTTGTTGCGCAGTTTCATAATGTTCCTCGCCAACGATTCGAGGTTGTAGCATAGTTGACGTTGAATCTAAAGGATCTACTGCTGGATAGATACCTTTGGCAGCTAATCCTCTTGATAGTACGGTAGTCGCGTCTAAATGTGCAAATGTGGTGGCAGGAGCGGGGTCAGTCAAATCGTCCGCAGGTACATAAACTGCTTGAATAGAGGTTATGGACCCTTTTTTCGTAGAAGTAATTCTTTCTTGTAAAGAACCCATTTCGGTACTAAGGGTGGGTTGATAACCCACAGCCGAAGGCATTCTACCCAATAAGGCGGATACCTCGGATCCTGCTTGTACGAAACGGAAGATATTGTCGATAAATAGAAGTACGTCTTGCTCATTAACATCTCGGAAATATTCTGCCATAGTTAAGGCAGTCAGACCAACTCTCATACGAGCTCCCGGCGGTTCATTCATCTGACCGTAGACTAGAGCTACTTTTGATTCCGCAAGATTTTGTTCATTAATTACTCCAGATTCTTTCATTTCCATGTAAAGATCATTTCCTTCACGAGTCCGTTCGCCTACTCCACCAAATACGGATACACCACCATGAGCTTTGGCAATATTGTTGATCAATTCCATAATTAGTACTGTTTTACCCACGCCAGCCCCACCGAATAGTCCTATTTTTCCCCCACGACGATACACCAAAAGATACTACTAATTCCTGTTTCAATATTGTTGATCAATTCCATAATTAGTACTGTTTTACCCACGCCAGCCCCACCGAATAGTCCTATTTTTCCCCCACGACGATAAGGGGCCAAAAGATCTACTACTTTAATTCCTGTTTCAAAAATAGATAATTTTGTATCTAATTGTATAAAAGCAGGCGCGGATTTATGGATAGGAGATGTTGTGCGGGTATCAACAGGGCCTAAATTATCAACAGGTTCCCCAAGTACGTTGAAAATACGTCCTAGAGTCGCTCCGCCGACTGGAACACTTAGAGGATTTCCCATATCAACCACGTCCATTCCTCTCTTTAAACCCTCTGTCGCGCTCATAGCTACAGCTCTAACTCGATTATTTCCTAATAATTGCTGTACTTCACAAGTCACATTAATTTCTTGACCAAGAGTATCTCGACCCTTAACCACCAGAGCATTGTAAATATTAGGCATCTTGCCCGGGGGAAAGGCTACATCCAGTACCGGACCAATGATTTGGGCAATCCGTCCCAGGTTTTTTTTTTCACGTATCAAAACCTCTGGATCCGAAGTAGTAGGATTTATTCTCATAATAAAAAAAATATGTTAAATTTTGTTGCGCAATTTTTCGAATACATAAAAAATCGTCGATAGCAAATTGATCGGTTAATTCAATAATAGATGGGAGTAAGCACTCGGTTTCGTTGGTACCACCCAAGCGAATGTGCAATTCCAGTTTTTACTTATTCTTTTACTTATTCAATGAAGGAATGGTCATTTTCAAGCTCAACTAACCGAAACCTACTTAAAAAAAAATTTGCGGAAAGTCTTTGATTTCTTTATCATAATAGGCAAGACTCTTTTTTATCTAGCGAATTCGAAACTAGATTTCTTATTCATTATTTCGATCTCATTAGCTTTTTTTTTTTTCATTTTCGTGGATTAATTCCGCATATTGTCATATCTAGGATTTACATATATAACATTTATTACTGTCAAGAGTGATTTTATTATTATTTTAATATTAAATATTTCGATTTATAAAAAGTCAAAGATTCAAAACTTGAAAAACAAGTATTAGGTTGCGCTATACATATCCAAAAATAATTGTATTAATTTGACTATTTTCCGTAATGTGGTTAAGAATATGGTACCGTTATAATCCCAAAGTCTGGAGTTCCATGATTTTTAAAAGATTAACTAGTAAACTGAAAAATGATGATTGTTTTTAAAGCAAAGATTAGTGAGTAGAACTATATTAATGTTGTATTCAACTAATCATCATCCATTAGCCAATATGAGATCCATCACATGATGACATCATTCTTATAACCTTTCACCATACATTCACACACACAGTAGGTGGATATGTATAAACAGATGCGTACACGCAAAATCCATGTGTATGTATGAATATGTTTTGGATGTTTAAAAGATGAAATCAGAAAGCATAAGTTCTTGAGGTGGGGGAGTCAGCAATTTGAAGAGTTTCTTGAATAATTTTGTGTGCCTTTCTGCTTCTCAACTCAAACCTCATGCTCTCACTCTTCTCTATCTTCTCATACGATGATGATGATGATGACGACGACGACAAAGATGATGATGATGATGAGAATGATGATCTCTTTCTCCTCCTTAAACTTGTCTTTATCTTCCACTTCAAGCCTTCCACAATCTTCCCCAGTTTCATCCTCACTACCTTTTGATATATGTGGAAAAACTAATTAGATCTTTGAATTACATAAATTATTGTATATTCATGGCTAGTGTACATGTATGAAGAACCCTTTTTGTATTATATCCATTCGATTAGCATATATACTCACTTGGAGATAAACACATCATCCCACAACAACTTATAAAGATGGATTCCAAAAAAGAAGAAGTAAAACCTTTACATGGAGACTATATATATTTACATGTACAACTACATATATGCAATTGGCTGTGTTTTATTTTAACCAAAAAAAAATTGTTCATAAGAGAGAGAAGAGAGAGTAGAAAAATATCGAACCTCTTGGACGTGTGACTTGGAAATATCAGCAAAGATGAAAATGGAGAACAGAGAAGGCTATATACATATAGTCATATATCTAGAATATATATTGTGAAAATATGTCAAAATGTGTGTGTGTGTGGTGCTAGGATGATGTCAAAGGTTGTGACTTGTGACTATGTGAATCTCGTGACCTTATTTTTCAATCTTCAACTAATATTCTTTCTTTTTTATCAAGAAAAAATAATAATGAAGAAGAAAACATGTCTGGTTAATAATTGGGTACTATTATGGTTTGGTTAGTCAAAGATTCAGATTTTAAGGCATCACAAAATCATGATTCTTGGGAAATTATGTTTTCTTACGTTATATCCTTCGCAAAACTTTGTTTAGTGATCTCGTGAATACGACCAAAAGGAGAAAACTGCAATACAATAGAAACAAATTCGCTAGGTGTTATAACCAAGGGTTAATTTATCTTTTGCTTAAATAATAAATATTTTATTCCTCCGTTACTTGATATACCTGTTTTTGTTTATAAGAAGAAAAAAAAATCGAGGTTTACAACTTGATACGTGTTAAGAAACTAAACTGTACCACTATATATTATGTATAGTGGATTGATTAATAAAGAAAAGAAGATGTGAGAGAAGGAGAGAGAGAGATTACTATGTAAGAAAGAGGTGTTGGTTGAGAGAGAGTTTTGTATGAGAGAGAAGAGAGAGTATAGAGTTTCTTTTGTATTGAACTTATGTTTCAATTATAATGAGTACACATATTTATATAGAGAGAATTAATAAAAATGATTAAGTCGGTAATGTAAGACGGTGAAAGAACTTACCTATAAGTAAATAATAAAATATTCATTAGAGGATAATTATCCTTTCTAACACTCCCCTTAATTATCCGTCTTTGTATTATGTACGGTCTCGTTAAAAAACCTATGTCATAGAAAAACCCAATGGGATAAAAACTATGACTTAGGAAAAAGAGTACCGTAGCATAATCTCCCCCTGGAAAAGATAGAATCTTTTCTTTTCACAAGTTTTGTAGACGACGCATTCCGATACTGTGAACATGCTTCTTGAACACTGTAGTAGGAAGGCCTTTGTAAAAAGATCGGCTGCATTGTCACTTGAACGAATATACTCGATGTCCACTTCTTGATTTTTCTGGAGTTCTTGAGTATGAGAAAAATCTTGGAGGAATATGCTTCGTTCTGTCACTCTTGATATAACCTTCTTTGAGTTGTGTGACACATGCAGAATTGTCTTCAAATATTTTTGTTGGCTCTTTCTCTATGATCATTCCACTTGATTCTTGTATGTGATGAGTCATAGACCGGAGCCACACACTCTCTACATGCTTCATGGAGAGCAATAGTTTCTGCATAATTTGAAGACGTTGCAACCAAAGTTTGCTTTTGCGAACGCCAGGAGACCGCAGTTCCACCAATTGTGAAAACATAACCTGTTTGTGATCTAGCTTTGTGTGGATCTGATAGATATCCTGCATCAGCAAAACCAACTAAAACACATTTTGAGTTCTTAGGATAAAATAATCCTAAATCAATTGATCCTTGAAGATAACGAAAAATATGTTTTATTCCATTCCAATGTCTGCGCGTAGGGGACGAACTATATCTTGCAAGCAGATTAGTAGCGAATGCTATATCTGGTCTAGTGCAATTTGCAAGATACATTAGTCCACCAATAGCGCTCATGTAAGGTACTTCAGGACCTAACACTTCCTCGTTATCCTCACAAGGACGGAATGGATCCTTTTCAACATCAAGAGATCTATTAACCATTGGAGTACTCAAAGGAGTTGCTTTGTCCATATAAAAGCGTTTTAACACTCTTTTAGTGTAATTTGACTGATGCACAAATATACCATCTTGGAAATGCTCTATCTGGAGCCCAAGACAAAACTTTGTCTTTCCAAGATCTTTCATTTCAAACTCTTCTTTCATATGAGTTCTTGCATCATCAATTTCCTTTTGAGTTCCAATCATGTTCAGGTCATCTACATATACAGCAATAATCACAAATCCTGACGAGGATTTCTTAATGAATACGCAAGGGCATATCGCATTGTTGACGTAATCTTTACTCAACAAATATTCACTTAAGCGATTATACCACATGCGTCCGGACTGTTTTAGTCCATAAAGTGATCGCTGTAATCTGACCGAACAGATCTCCTTAGCCTTTGATTTCAAATCCTCAGGCATTTTAACCCTTCTGGGATTTTCATATATATCTCATTTCAAGAGATCCATATAGATATGCTGTCACAACATCCATGAGATACATTTCAAGATTTTGAGACGCTGCTAAGCTCATCAAAAATCTGAATGTTATGGCATCCATTACGGGGAATATGTTTCTTCATAATCAATTCCCGGTCTTTGAGAAAAACCTTGAGCCACAAGTCGGGCTTTATATCTTGTGACCTCATTTTTCTCATTTCTTTTTCTTACAAAAACCCATTTGTGCCCGACGGGTTTTGTATTCTCAGGAGTTGTGACAATAGGTCCAAAAACACTTCTTTTATTGAGGGAGAGTAATTCAGCTTGGATGGCCATTTTCCATTTCTCCCAATCAGGTCTTTTGAGACACTCTGATATTGTTTCTGGATCTGGATCATCACTTTCATGATCAATTCTTTGTATACAGAAAAAGAGAATATTCCATCATCATCTTCTATTTCATTTCTTGTCCATACTTTTCCATTTTGGGCGAAGTTGATGGAAATCTCAAATTTTTCTGTTATCATGTTCGTCTTCTGGACGAATCTCTTTCTCTGGTTCTTCAAAAACCATTTTGTTTATGTCTTCTAGACATATTTCTTTACAAGGTTCTTCTAAAACCTTTTCTCCCAAATTCTTTTTCTTTCGGGGATTTTTATCTTTAGAGCCCATCGGCCTCCCCCTCTTTAATTGGACTTTGGGTGCATTTGCTATGCTTCCATCATTTTGTTCCTTAGAACATCTATCTTTGATGGAACGTTTGCAGCGGGTATATATGATTTCGTCACTCTTTTTGTATCTGAACGAATCTGGTAATTGATTTGCCATATTTTGTAAATGTATAATTTTCTGAACTTCCAATTCGCGTTGTTTTGTCGGGGGATCAAAGTGTAACAAATTCGGTGTACACCATGTGAGGTCTTTTGGAACCTCTTTAATTCCTCCCCCTAACGCTGGAAATTCATCTTCATTAAAATGGCAATCGGCAAAACGTGCCGTAAACATATCACCAGTTTGAGGTTCAAGATACCGAATAATACTCGGTGACGTATACCCAACGTATATTCCCAATCTCCTTTGTGGCCCCATTTTTGTTCTTTGTGGCGGTGCTATCGGAACATAAACCGCACAACCAAAAACACGGAGATGGGATACGTTTGGCTCCTGACCAGATGCCAATTGCAATGGGGAATATATATTATAAGCACTTGGTCGTATTTGGAGCAACGCTGCAGCATGCAAAATAGCATGACCCCATATAGAAATTGGGAGTTTTGTTCTCATTATTAACGGTCTTGCAATCAGTTGCAACCGTTTAATCAAAGACTCAGCCATGCCATTTTGTGTATGGACATGTGGAACCGGATGCTCAACATCGATTCCCAATGACATGCAATAGTCATTAAAGGCCTGTGAAGTGAATTCACCAGCGTTATCTAATCTCACTTTCTTAATAGTATAATCAGGGAACTGTGCTCTCAACCTGATTATTTGGGCAATGAATCTTGCGAAAGCCGTATTTCGTGTTGTCAAAAGACACACATGTGACCATCTACTTGATGCGTCAATTAATACCATAAAGTATTGAAACGGTCCGCATGGTGGGTGAATAGGCCCACATATATCACCGTGTATTCTCTCTAAGAACACAGGGATTCATTTCCAACTTTCGCTGGTGAAGGCCGAGTTATGAGTTTTCCTTGAGAACATGCATTACATATGAACTCGCCCGTTTCTAAAATTTTCCCGTATTTCAACGGATGGCCATTTGAGTTTTGCACAATTTTTCTCATCATGACTGAACCTGGATGCCCTAGCCTTTCATGCCAGATTTTGAATGTACTAGTAAACTTCGGGTTTACTGTAACATATGATTCAGTCAGAGTAATATTTGTGCAATATAATCCGGAGGACATCATTTTCAACTCTTCCAATATTTGTCCCTCCGATTTGATGCAAAGGATTTCAATGCCATTCTTATTTATAGTCTCTATGTGATATCCATTTTTACGGATATCTTTGAAACTCAATAAGTTTCTATAAGACTTCGGGGAATATAATGCATCATTTATTTCAAACTTTGTTCCCCTTGGCATTGAAAAATTGGCTCTTCCAGAGCCCAATATTATTTTTGCACCACCAGAAATGGTATTCACGCTTTCAACGGAATCTTTAATTTTGAGACCGGAGAAATATCTTTTATCTTTGAGTATTGTGTGCGTTGTAGCACTGTCTGCAAGACACATATCTCCATCACGAGTCTCAAATTTCGTCATTTCTGGATTTAACAAAGATGCATTAATAAGTATTAAACAATACAAAGCTTATATCACAAGATACAAAATACCACATTAAAAACTATTTTACAACAAAAAGATCAAACTTTTAGGTTATCTTATTCAGGAAGATAACTATGTATATCATGTCCTTTTAGTCGTCTGTTTTTCCGTTGATCTCTTCGGAGTCAACCAGAAAATCTGAAACATCAAGATGAGTATCATCGTTTAGGCCGTGAAAGGAAGGACCGGGTTCATTGGAGATGAAGTTAGTCTCACTTTCTTTCTCCTTTGCTTTTTGTGATTCCCGGTATAGATCGGCTAAGTGTCTGGGTGTACGACAAGTACGCTCCCAGTGATTTTTCATGCCGCATCTGTAGCAAACACTTTCTTTTTGCTTTTTAGAATCTCGGCCGTAATCATTTGCTCGAGATCTTTTATATTCCTTTCATTGTTGGACTCGTCGGGACGGTACTCTTTTCCTTGTCCCCGACCACGTCCACGGCCACGGCCACGACCTCGGTTTCGACCATATCCACGTCCACGTCCTCGTCCATTATTTTGGCTGGACGATGCTACATTCGCTTCTGGGAATGGAGCAGCTCCAGTGGGACGAGTCTGATGGTTCATCATCACAAGCTCGTTATTCTGTTCTGCAACAAGGAGAACATCCATCAATTTTGAATAACGAGTATAGCCATTTGCCCGATATTGTTGTTGCAGGACTATATTTCCAGGGTGAAATGTGGAGAGCGTTTTTTCAATCATATCATAATCGCTCACATTTTCTCCACATAGCACCATCTTGGAAATTATTCTGAACAAGGCAGAATTATATTCAACAACACTTTTATAGTCCTGAAACCGGAGATATAGCCACTGGTATTTGGCTTTGGGCAAATCTATATATTTTTGATGGTCAAATCTTTCTTTCAAAGATTGCCAAAGATCCGCAGGATCTTCTTTAGTGATGTATTCATCTTTTAAACCATCGTGGATGTGATGAAGTAGAAAGATCATGGCTTTCGCCTTTTTCTCATCTGGCGTCTCTTTCGACTTGTCAATGGCATCAAGAAGCCCATTTCCTTTTAGATGCATTTTTGCACCTATTGCCCATGTCATATAATTGTTTCCAGAAATATCAAGGGCGGAAATTTCGAGCTTAGCCAAATTTGACATGATATCTGCATAGATCATATCATTCATTAATATAAATTCAAATTCAAATTTGCAATAAAAATTTGAGCATTATAACAGTATAAAATTTAGCAGAAATTTAATGGCAGAAAAGTAAATAGCGAAAAAGTAAATTACAGAAAAGTAAATATTCAGGGAAGAGGCAAAGCCTCTACTCCAAGAGGAGGTTTCACCATCAACTCTTATATGATCTAAGGTGACATGGTCTACCATATGATCATTTGCTCGGAGTAGGTACAACCTAGCATCCCGGCATATCAATAAAATTGAATAGACAGAATATAAGAGCAGTTCGTGCTGATAACGTGATATAAAAACTAAACTGTACCACTATATATATGTATAGTGGATTGATTAAATAAAGAAAAGAAGAGTGAGAGAGAGGGAGAGAGAGAGAGAGATTTACTTGTGAGAGATGGGTGAGAGGTTTCGTATGTGGGAGAGGAGAGTTTTGTATGTGAGAAGAAGAGAAGTAGTGAAGTTTATTTTTGTATTGAACTTATGATCTTAATACAATAATGAGTACCTATTTATAGAGAGTAAATTAATGTTAAAAATATTACAGTCGGTAATATAAGGACGGTGAAAAAACTTACACCATAAATATAATTAAAATATTTGGATAATTATCCTTTCTAACAATACGTACTTGATTGAAATTTTGGTAGAATTTATGTTTTGTATTCTTCTACATGACTGATAAAATCTGGACTAAAAAAATGAAATTGTATTCTTCCTTTCATTGCCTAAATCTCGTGCACAAAAACCATAAACATCTTTGTTTATAAATGTTTCCCCAATATAACAAAAGTAAGAACATCTTTGTTTATAAATGTTTATAAATTTTCTTTAGAGGGTTTGTTAACTAAAAAATAATTAAAAGAAATGATATAATTGAAAAAATCAGTTCCAGTGCAATCCCTCTTCTGCTTCAGCTTTGCTGAGGTGGTATACTGTGGACATAATGCATTTGGTATCAGACTCGTCATGCATTGCAGTGAAAGCAGAAATAAATCAAACAACTAAACATATCGTAAACATCACTTGACAATATAGATCATAGGCGCTTATAACAGAACAATGAAATGATTTTTCACTTTTTCAGGCATATAAAACCAGATAATAAAAGTTGCAGTATGTATAGTTTCAGAGAGGGGTCGTAGAAGCTTACTAGTTCTGAAGAATATATAGGCCTATTATTCCTGCTTCATCTTTTCAGTATCACTGATCAAGCCATCGTACTGAAGCACTTCTGTCGTAAACACAGATGAGAAGAAATTTTGATGACACTAAGGCATAGCTTTTCATATAAGGAAGTTGCATGCATTACTTAGTTAATTTCATATAAGGCAGAACTAAACCTAGTGGTTGGCTAAAGGTTCATTAATGGCTTCTACACCAAGAGGTATGAGTTCTATTATGAGTTCATTAATGTGATTTCTGTAGATTATTAGAGGAAAGTTTGCATAAGGAAGGCAAGAGCATATAAGGAAAATTTTCAGAACATGTGCAAGATATTCATGATAGGTTCACATACAAATGGACATTGATTGAATAGTTGAATTATCCGTTAATAATTTGTCCTTGTAAGTGTCTTGATATTTAAAAAAACTAAGACTTACCGTTTTGAAATAAATCTAGGATATGACGCTCTAAGTGCATAAGATAGATGTCATGAAGCTGATCCTCTTCTGTTGCTGCTTCACGGGCATCCTGTGTGACATGTACGGTAAAATACAACAAAAAAGAAATTGATCAAATGAAAAGAATAGGCTTGCGTTCAAATATTTACCATGGACATTGTGCATTTCTGGTTAAAGAAGACGAAGCAGTATGTGCAGAAGTACATCCAATGGTAGCAATATGATCCACAGACAGAACAAGTCGTCCCCTAATAAGCATAGATTAGTCTAACAGTATGCTGATGGCGTTGATTCTTCACATAGGATGGAAATCCAACACACTCTGCATGGGCGGTGAAATCACAATGATCACAGCCCTAAAACGATGAACCACATGGTCTACTGCAAACAGTGCAGGGCTGAGCCAAGGACTCGCTCCAATAATTATAGAGATAATGCTTGTGATTCTCGATCTTCCTTGATATACCCATGGCGTGGAGGCATCTAAGATGGAAACATGTATAGCAAATACCACAAATGTAACCATACTCTATAATACTCATTTTGCAGGCGACGCATGTGGCTCTGCTAGTTAACAGTTTCATCGTCAATATGTGATCATAATGAAGTGGATGACTCGTTACTTGTAGCATGGCAAGCTCAATACACCGAGAATGATAAATCTGCTCACAATCCATGCATGAGACTATGTTTCCATAAAGCCTGTCGTCACAAAGAGTGCAAGCCACCGGATAAGACCTTGAGACCAGAACTTGAACCAAGGTATGCTTTCCATCAAAGCATTTTCCTTGGTCATATCTGATGAACTTTTGTCCCCTTTGTAATTCTCCAAGAGACTTTTTAGCTCTTACCACGCATTTCGTACATATGATGAAATTGCATACCCGACAGAAGAGTTTGAAAGAAGATATATATAGTCTCTTTGCACGTGTCGCAACTCATAACAAATTCTCCAGGGTGACTTGGCAGAAGTGTCAAAGGATGATTCAAATGGAATCTGTACATTGATGGTTTCCTCATCTTTACACAAGAACCATGTGCCCAGAAATCACAAGTCCGGCATGACAATATATTCATACATGAATGCTCCCCGAATGTGACCTCCTATAATCCATCACGTGATTATGCACCATATCATTAACCTACAACAAATATAATAACAAGATTAAGGCCTACAAAAAAAAAAAATGTAGGGATCAGATTATAGTAATGTCATACCACGAATATGTCATCATATGTTCCTTCGGTTTCACATTCTTCTTGATGAGCTGTCCTTGCGACGTTTCCACCACAAGAATAGAGATCTTTCAAGTATAATGGGGAAGGCGTTTCCTGTTAATGTTTATGAGTAAGAGCAGCTCGTCATCGTCTGTCAATCAAGAAAGAAAGAAAAGGAAAAAAAGAAAAAACCAGAAATGCAGTTACATATTATTAGTTACCTCTGTAATGCACTCAAAGTGACCCACAAAATCACATATATTGCAGGAATAAACATGATGTCCCACATGTACCAATGTCTCACAAACACCACAATACTCGATAGAATTTTCTTGGTTTAGGAATATCTTACAGAAGAGAGGATGAACGTGACAAGATTTCTTAACAATGGACTCGTGTACATCAACACACTCGAAATGACACTCTGCATGACATGCCACACAGCGATAGATGGAATCAAGAGAGATGACAGCATCTCCTTTGCATATGAAACAACCATCTTTACTAGCACCACTAGCTCTATAAAACAGTATGTGTTGTGTTCAGGAGAGTAGTGGGTCACACTTCGCAACAAGGAATCTGCACACCTCATGTGTAGATCAAAATCACATTCCGGGCAGCCTAACGGGACACCTTCGATAGCTAGTCCGCATGCATCACATTCTCTTGGAGGACCACAAGTATTTGTGAAATCAAGGCGTATGAGAGGGTGAGCCGGATGCGCTGGATGCTGAATCTCTCTCG